ATCAGATCGTGTCACTCCTTGTCACAAAACCCTCTGAACCCTGCTCTCTCACTCAGCAAAAAAGCCAAGTGCACTCTGACTGCAAGGCCGTCCCTGCCCTCAGCCGCTCCGCCTTCCTGTTCCCTGCTGTCCCAGCTGGGTGCCCACCCAGCCCCATCCAGGCTCCAGGCCTCTGAATGTCACTCCCCAGTCCCTCCCCATGGCTTCCCTACAAGCCCAGACATCTTTACTGGGGACAGTGACACTTGTCTGGACCCATCATGAAAGCCCCGCCCTGCCACGCCCCTCCCTGCCTGGCCTTGTCTAGGGCCCTCCTTGGTCTGCAGAGGCCAACCCTTTGTCCTGGGGCCTCGGGATGACGTCCAGCGAGCCACAGGGTCGGTATTTTTAAATGTGATACAAATATTGTCTCCCTGTTCATGGACAGGCCTTCTTTTCATAAACAGAAACTCTTAATTTTATAGAATTTTTTTCAGTTATGGCTGGTGCTTTACATATTTTGCTTAAGTCAGTCCCTGTCCCAAGGTCTTCATCTCCTATGATTTCCTCTGAATTTCAAAGTTTTGCCTCTCTTTACGCCTTCCCACGCGTTTGACATAGATTTGTTAGTAAGTGGTGTGAGCCGAGACCGTGTCCCTGTCCGTACCTCCCCCGGCCCCGCCTGCTAAGCGCAGTGCGGCGGTCAGTCTGCAGGGTGACAGCCTCGCAGTGGGTCATATCACCGCAGGACCAGCCTGCGTCCCACAGCGCCCAGCAGCACCTTCTTCTCAAGTATCTCAACTGTTTGCGGCCTCTGCTCCTTCTTATAAACTCCAGCAGTAATTTATAATAAGTTCTTAAACAGAAACAAAATCATTGGCATCTTTACTGAAATTGCACGAATCTACAGGTCAGTTGGGGAAAGTGCCATCTCCCGGACACGGACCTACGGGCCCGACCACCGTGATAAAGAGCTCCATCTATGCAAACGGTCCTCCGGGTCTTCTGGGAAACTGCCGCGGTTCCCGTGACCACCTGGCACACATCCTTCGTTACTGTCGCCAGGGCTGCTGGTGTCAGGGAATGCAATCGACTCGCTCGGGTGAGCTCACACTCAGCAACCTTGCCGGACGCTCTGATCGGCTTCAGGTGGTTCCAGATCCCCTCCCCAGATCGCGGTGTTCTCTGAATACTGGCGGTGCCGCCTGTGCCTGCCGTAACTCTCAGCCGCTTCGCCGGCGTTTCCCGTCTACCCGTTCAGCAAGCATTCACGGACCCTGCCGCAGGCCACGCACACCCTCAGCACAGGGATGTGGCCGGGGACAGAACAGGCAGAACCGCCATCCCCACAGAGCAGACTCCAGCTTACTGACCTGACCAGGGCCCAAAGTTCAACGCCGAAAAGAATACTGGCTACAGGTGTCACTGGCCTTTCTCATTGTTGAAGGACGTTCTTTCCAAATTGCACCTTTATATGTGATGTTCGCAGAGGACTTTTTGGGTAAATGCTCTTTGAGTTAACAATTTCTAGATTGTGAATACTTTTTATCATGAATAAAATCTGAATCTGAGTGTCTTCTCTGCAGCCACGACAGGATCACATTACTGGGGTCCTTGGATCTGCTGAGGTGCATTATGGTGACGGACTTTCTGATCGGGACCCCGCCTCCTCGACCTGACCCTGCCCTGTCCTCCCAGTGACTGTCGGACTTGGTCGGCATGCATGCCGTGGACAACTCTGCGTCTGTGTTAACGAGCGAGCTTTTGGTTTTCTTTCTTGCGCTCTATACTTTTACACATTCAAGTGTCGAGGCTGCACCGGTCCCGTACAAACGGAGCGCTCCCTGTTCTCCGCACTCGGGCCGGGAGGGCTCCCTGCCATTCCCGGGGACACCTAACGTGCAGAAGTGCTATGGCCCAGGGCTGCCAGCCAGGACACAGCCCTTGAGAGACGCGTTTGTCGCTGCGCTGCCTCCCGCAGGCTTCTTTGGGGTTTGCACAGAACACCCTCAGAACACCACTGCGACCTGCTTATCGAGCGAGGCGACGCCACTGGGTTTGAGCGTTTCAGAGCAGGGCGCCCACGTGCAGTGTCACCCGTGCCAGGGGTGTCTGCGGTGTGGGGAGATACTGGGCAGGATCCCTGCAAAGTTCTCACACACTTAAGATTCCAGAGCCAGGCCATGTCACTGGCAGAGACTGTGTCTGACCATGATGCCGCGTGCCTCTGACACCGGAGCTTCTCCTCACGACTGTCTGTGCCACTCACAGCCCAGCGCACAGCGGGAGTGCCACGCCTAGGAACAAACCTAAACACATCCCCAGGGCAAGTCACACATCAGGTGGCCCAGGCCCCGTGCCTGTCACTTCTTGCACCAGACTCTCCCTCAGCTCCCCCACCTTGTGTACCAAGGGACAGTCACTCAAACCTGAAGGAACCACCCAAGTCTGGCTGAGGGGCGGGCTGGCCGGCACGCTGGTGCTGGCCTCAAGCAGGCCCCCTGCGGACAGCCTGAGCTGGTTTGAGGTGGAGTCTGGGCGCTGTGCCTGAGCAGCCAGTGTGTCACCCTCACCACGAAGAAGTTGACCATGGTCAGGTGACGTGGTCTCCAGCCAGGGCTAAAGCAAGGTCGGGCCTCTGGAAGGAGCAGGGTTTGGGGACCAGGCAGTAAGTGTAGGTCTCGGCATAACACACAACTTCCCCCAGAGGGCACCCCAAATGCAGGGGCACTGAGGATCTAACATCACAGCCGGCCGCGGTGTTCGCAGTCTAGGCCGTGAGGGCTGAGACCAAGGCCAGGCCCCCCTCAGCACAGCTGAACCAGCCACGGCCTCTGCGGAACATGCGGTGGGCCATGCGGGGAGGTCACCGCCAGGTCTCTGCACTGGGTGACACGCTGCCCACGTGGGACCCTGCACTGGGAATGGCCGTGTCCTGTGCCAGCTGGGACGGTAGCAGCACGGCAGAGGTCACCAACACGGGTCCCAGGACCCTGTCCTACTGCAAGCACAGGCTATGCGGAGGGGCTGGGACCCCTCACAGCCCCTCCCCACCGCCCAGGAGGGGCCGGCCTGCCAGGGGTTGAAGCAGCCTCAGAGCCCCAGACAGAAGGCTGCTTGGCCAGTCCCCAGGTGGGGTGCTGCCCTCAGTATGAAGTGACGGCTGACAAATGGTCCCGGGTACCTGGCCAGCGAATCGCTGGGACCCGGCAAGTGGGCGGGAGTGGCGTCCCTCCTGCTGTCACTGTGGTGACTCCAGGGCCCCACAGGTGGGTGTGGCGAATCTGAGGTCCCGGTGCAAAAGGCAGGACCACTTCCTGTGTGCGACACCAGGCCATGGTGGCCATCACTCTGGGCTGTGCCACGCCAGCGGGCGCGGGCAGCTGAGTGCCGGGAGCAGTCTCCGGGGTTGGGGCGCCATCCTGGGCGCTCCAGTGAACAGGCTTGACTGTGACTGGACCATGTGGCAGCCCGAGCCACACGAGGGCGCAGCCAGCAGGGAATGGGCCACGTCAGATGAAGGTTTGGTCACCTTCCCATACCAGCCACCAGAGAAACCAAAGGCCGGCCGCAGGTCAGGGGCCACCTAAGGGGTGGAGGAGGGACAGGCGACACATAGCCGGGCCAATTGGCCCTGGGAGCACCGTCGCCGACGTGGTGACGGACACCGCCACGCTGTGCGGGGAGGGAGCCTGCAGCAGGGTGCGGGCAGAGCACGGCAGGGCCAGAGCACCACAGCACACGCCCCGCACACCTGGGGCAGCACGGGTGTCCCCTCAACCCCACAGCCCAGGCTGCCCTCGGGGTGCACCAGGGGGCTGAGAACTGACACCCCCAGGTGCAGCCCTGAGCTGAGCACACCTGGGTACAGGATAAAAGCCGCCATCTCTGAGGCATGACCTGCCCGGTCCCAGAGTCCCCTGGGTGACAAACTCACCCTGCACTCACTCAACATGCATCATTTCTGTCCTTCCTTCTGCCCTATCCAATCTCCCCAAACCTCTCTACTGGTTTTGCCAGCAGCACTTCCTGAGGAATCACTTTGGCAGGAGCCCCCGCCCCAGCGTCTGCCCCCCAAGATAAGCAGCAAATGCTCTGCGGTTCTCCCGCAAGGCAGCGTCGCAGCGAGAGGGCCTCGCTTCACAGTTGGGTCCCCCACAGCCGCAGAAACAAGCTTGTGTCGGGCACTCGGCCAGCGTTTGCACGCGATCCGTGCATGTCTGATAGGAATGAGCATCTCTAGCTTCACATAAAGCAGACCTCGCGTTTTAAGTATTCTACATCCTTATCGGTTTAGTTTCTACATTTCTGATGCCAAGTCGTTAAACACATATGTATTAGAAAAATAAAATTTAAAAGATTCTTGTCTCAGTCGGTTCTTACCATCAGCTTCCAGGTGATTCCCAGGCTATCAGCTTAAGAGAATTTTGGGGAACCATTTCCTTATCCAAGAAAAAGCATTTGCTGAGACAATAGCCAGTCCCCAAAGTCCATGTCTGAAGAGGGGCCTCTACCCATCCAGGCTCCGGGGGAACCCCTGTCCCAGAGGAGGGGTGACCCAGGCGCAGCCTGGAGCAGCAGAGAGGGCTCCCTCTATGAGGAAAATACTTTGGGGCCCTGGAGGGGAGCAGAAAATGCTACTTACCGCAATTTCTGTCACTAAAATATCAGTAATACTTCCCAGCACAGTGACAAAGTCAAACACATTCCAGGCGTCTCTGAAGTAGTTCTACAGGAAGAGAAAGGCAGTCAGGGCAGCAGCGGGCGGGGCTCTGCCGGGGAAGGGGTGGTCCCTGACCAAGAACAGGGAGAGGAGACAGATGGGCCGCCCCAGGAGGGACTCACAGGCCAGTGCAGTCAGACACCCCTGGCCCGGGCAGTGGAGAACAGAGAGCCATGTGCGCAGGGAGGAGGGACCTGCCTCCACGGCCTCAGGAGCTGGCTGGGGGCAGAGCTCAGGGCAGCGGGGCCCCTGCAGCGTCATGTGTGCTCTGGGGTCGGGGAGGTCGCTGCTCTAAACCAGGAGCCCAGGTCCCACCGGCACTAAGGGGAGCGGGAAGGTGACCCCGAAGGGTGGGGGGCCAGGCACGTACCAGCACCCCGAACGCAATGATCTTCAGCAGGCACTCCATAGAGAACACGGAGGTGAAGGCCACGTTCAGGCCCTTCAGCAGCAGCTCGTACTCGTAGGGTGCGCCGTAGAACTGTGGGGGACGATCCCACCAGGGGGCCGCCGGGCCGCCATCAGAGCCCGCCCAGGCCAAGGGCATGCCTTCCCACTGCCCAGGCCTCCCGGGGCCTCCCCCTTTGCAGCCCACAGACACCCAGGCCCACATGCCCCAGGGCCCACGCACCTTCATCATCAGCACCAGCGTGTTGAGGGCGATCATGGCCATGATGAAGTACTCGAAGGGCGGAGACACCACGAACGTCCACGTCTTGTACTGCAGTGACTGCTTGTCCCGCGGCATGTGCCGCGTCAGGGGTTTGGCGCTAATGGCGAAGTCGATGCAAGCCCTCTGCCCGGGAGGGAAGGTGCGAGGGCTCAGGGCCGCCCTGCCCCGCCCCCCCATCCTCCCCTCCTGGCAGCCCCCCAAGCAGTCTCTCCGCCCTGCCCCGCCCCCCCGCCCTCCCCTCCTGGCAGCCCCCCAAGCAGTCTCTCCCTGCCCCAGCACAGGCCCACCGTGCTGGCCAGGGGCTACCTGGCCGCGAGTGACCACCCACCTTGTGCCTCAGGAGGCTAGGGAAGGCCTGCCCGCACCGCCCACGGGGAGCCCCGCGCGTGTGCCCCGGGCAGGAGGAGAGCCGCCTACCTCGTTTTTCTCCAGGCTACATTCTGACATCACCTTGTCCCCCTGCTCCTGGAAGGTGATGATGATCAAGGCCACGAAGATGTTGACAAAGAAGAAGGGGAAGACCACGAAGTAGACCACGTAGAAGATGGACAGCTCCATGCGGTACCCAGGGCTTGGGCCCTGCTCCTCGTACGTGGCATCCACCGAGTGTTTCAGCACCCTGGGCCACAGCAGATGCCAAGTGTCAGGGGACCCACGAGGACACGGCCCTGACAGAGTCATACCTGCATCACAGGTGAGGCTTCCGCACCTGAGCCCAGGGATGGCTCTGCTACACTGGGGCCCACGCTTATTCCACGGGTCAGCCGTCTCTCCTGGAGGTGGGCCACCTTCCCTACATGGCTGTAGCGGGGCTGCCCCTGGGCGGCCTCAGGCGTCTGAGGTCCTATCCCCAGAGGGGAGGCAGGGTGGGCCCAGCAGTTCCATCTTGGCCACTTACTCCCAGCTCATCTGCTCACACTGAGCTCACCCGCTCACACTCAGCTCACTCCCAGCTCACCCACTCACACCTAGCTCACTCTCTGCTCACTCTAAGCTCACACTCAGCTCACACCCAACTAAGTCCCAGTTTTCACCCTCTCTTACCTCACTCCCAGCTCACCTGCTCATACCCAGATCACCGCTCACATCCAGCTAGTCCTAGCTCGGCTCACTCAGAGCTCACCAGCTCACACTGAGCTCACATCAGACTCACCCGCTCACTCCCAGCTTGCTCACCTAGTTCACTCCAAGCTCACACTCAGCTCACACCCAGCTCACTCTAAGCTCACACTCAGCCAAAAACCATTCACACTGAACTCATACGCTCACTCCCAGCTCATTCCCTCTCACCAGGTCATGCCTTGCTCAGTCTAAGCTCACATCCACTCAAACCCAGCTCACTCACAGCCCACCAGCTCACACCAAGCTCATACCCAGCTCACTTCAAGCTCACACCCACTCCTAGTTCATTCCCAGCTCACCTGCTCACACTGGCTCACCCCAATCTCACATTCAGCTCACACCCACTCACACCTAACTCACCTGCTCATAGTCAGCGCACTTCCCAGCTCATCCACTCACTCTCAGCTCACACTCAACTCATTCCCAGCTCACCTGCTTCCTCTCAGCTCACACAACTCAGGCCCTGTTAATGTGCCCACACACTCACCTCACTCTTAGCTCACGCCCACTCACACTCAGCCCCAGAGGAAGCCCCTGCCGTCCAGGGTGGCGGTGACACAGACACCCGCTCTGGCTGCCTTAGCGGAGTCCGGTGGGCCAGCACGATGTCAGAGCCCACCTCCCTCTGGCCTCCAGCCACTCAGAGAACGTCTTCGGGATCTCCAGTCCCAGCCCCTTCTCCGCCACCCGCTCAGACGCAGGGCAGCATTTCCTGGACAGGTCCGAGAGTCCACCCCGTGGGCCGGCCCGAGGCGAGGACCTGCCGGGACTCACATGGGCCACCCTTCACCCGTGGACACGGTGAAGAGTGTCAGCAGTGCCCAGAGCACGTTGTCATAGTGGAAGTCGTACTTCTTCCACTGCCGAGGCTGGGCCTCCACTTCCTCCTTCTCATAGTCCAGATACTGGCCCCTGGGGGTGAGACACGAGAGGCCAGAGGTCAAAGACGGCAGATCCAAACACATCTGTGGTCAGACGGCCTTTGGAAGGTGCTGTCCGCTCGGGAGGAAGCACAGGCTCTTCAGCCAGTGGTGCCGGGACAGCTGGGTGTCCACTGGTAAAGGATGAAGTGGGACCCGACCTCACTCCACACACAAAAATGACATCAGTGGATCAAAAGTAGGAGCTGAAACCTTAATGCTCAGAAGAAAACACAGGGGCCTCAGATTTGGGAATGGGTTCTTAGAAATGACACCAATATCATGAGCAACAAAAAAAAACATAAATTAGACTTGATCAAAATCTAAAATTTTTGTGCTTCAAAGGACATCATCAGCACAGAATGGGACAAAATATTTAAAAATCATCTACCTGTTAAAGGACTTGTTCTAGAATATATAAAGAACTATTACAATCAATTATTAAAAAAAACCAAACACTTCATTTAAAAATGGGCAAAGGCCCTGAATAGACGTTTCTCCAAAGAAGCCACAAAAAGGCCGATTGGCACACGAAACGATGCTCGACATCAACAGAAAGATGCCGGTCGAGCCACAGTGAGAGACCATTTTGCACCCACTAGGATGGATATAATTTAATCTTTAAAAAGGAATATGACAAACATTGGCAAAGATGTGGAGAAAGCAGAGCTCTCGCACACAAGGGTGGGAGTGTGAACCCGCTTAGTGGCTCGGAAGACAGTCTAGCAGCCCCTGACACTCAAACAGAGCCGCCATGCAGCCCGGCAGCGCCACTGGCAGGTACCTGCTCCAGAGGAATGAGGACCTCTGTCCGCACAAACACGTGGCATGCGTTCACAGCAGCAGCATCACAACAGCCAAACGCCTACCCACCGATGAACAAATAAATGAACTGCGGCCTATCTACAGAATGAAACACGCTAGACCATAAAAGGGACGAAGCACCGACACGCGCTCCAGCTTGGACAACCCCAGAAACTGTATGCGGGGGGGAAGGGCTCAGACGCCAGCAACCATATCACACGACTGCATTTATATGCAATGCCTGGGGACAGGGGACTCTGTAGGGACACAACATGGCTCACTGGTTGCTCAGGGCTGGAGACGAGGGGGCAGGGGGCGACAGGTGCAGGGGCAGGTTTTTTGTTTTGTGTTTTAACTGATGAAAAATGTTCCAGTTGACTGTGGTGATGGTTGCACATAACTTTGAATATACTAGAACCATAGACTCCAATGGGTGAGTCGTACAGCAGTTGAGTTACATATGAATGAGCTATTTTTATGGAAAAATAAAGACCCCTCAGAATGGGCAAAGGGTGGTGTTTCCAAATGCGCGGGGCCAGGCCGTTTGCTGCCCACCCTCACCGCCCCCCACCCCACACACCACGCGAGCCAGTTCCAGGCAGGGCGCAGACCTAAAGGTGGAGGCAAAGGCACACACTCCAGAGGAAAGCGTGAGGGCATGTCCCTGACCGTGGGGTACGGCTTTTTAGCAGGACATGAAGAGTGCTGAGCATAAAACATATAAACCAAACCATACTTGGTCTCAAACAGACACCTCTGAAAGAGCAGAAAGGCCGCAGCGCGAGAGATGCCCACAACCCCCACATCTGGCAAAGGGTTCCTACTGGGGTTTAAAGAGTCCCACAGACCACCCAGAGAGACGGACAGCCCACACAGGAAAATGGAGAAAGGCGAGACAGACACGTCCCAGCGAGGGACGTCCAAACGGCTGACCCGCCTGGCAGAAGGTCGCCACCCAGCTGCATGTCAAACCTCGGAACAAAGCCACGAGGCCGCACCAGAACGGCCAAAAGCAAAGGACAGAGCGTGCCGGTGTGAGCGGGGTGTGGACACAGGCAGCCTCATCCGTGCTGGCGGGAGGGTCGTGTCACAGAAGCTGAACATATGCATAGTCCTCCACTGGGTGTGTACACTACACTCAAGCCACATGACCCTCAGTCACCTGGTGGATGAGACGTGGTGGCCCCTGCACACAGAGACACCTGGGACCACCGCCCACGTGGCCTCGCTCAGCACAGCGCTCGCACAGTCCACCCTCGTTCCCCCCGGCTCCAGAGGGCGCCTCACCTGTCTGCTTGGTGTGGGGCCGCCCAGCAGTGAACGTGGCCCAGCCACCAGGCACCCCATGACCTCGCGAGTGAGCCCCAACCCCCGGGACTCGCAGAATGGCCCCCCCTGCTGGGAGGCCCCACCACCCGCTCACCGGCAGTCCCGCTCCCGCTCCTTGGACTCGTCCGTGCAGTAGAAGAACTTGCCCTTGAACAGCTGCACGGCGATGACGGCGAAGATGAACATGAAGAGCACGTAGACGACCAGGATGTTGAGCACGTTCCTCAGGGAGTTCACCACGCAGTCGAACACGGCCTGCGGGGGCCACGGCTCAGAGCCCCGCAAAGCCCGCCCTGACCGCAAGGGCGCTCTCCGGCCGCCTCTCAGGCCCCACTGGTGGGCAGGAGGTGCCGGCACAGGGGGCACCGGTGTCGGGTGGGGCTGATGCAGAGGAAAGGGCTGGGGACAGGGAGAGCCAGTCCTGCTCCCACACCTGGGCCGGGCGCCTCCCCCGCCAGGTGACTCTGTCACGTGGCCACCGCCTGCCTCCCTCTCAGCCCCGTCCCACCCGGAGGCTCCACGTCCCTGTGCTGCCCACCCGGCCCGTCCCACTTCTCAGAGCCTCCGAGGAGGGGCCCTGCCCTGCGCGAGTGCAAAACAGCAGGCTCACGCCACCTCCTGAGACGCTGGCAAACGCAGCCGCTGTCCCCTGCTCAGGGTCCATGGTGCCCTCCCCCGACACAGAGGGCCTCGGGCTGCCTCCTGGTCACCTCCCGGCCCGCCCCTTCACCACGGGCCTTAAGCAAACTGTCTGCCGCGATGCACATGGCCGGTCCCCACCGCCTGCATTTCCAAGGGTCCAAAGGGCTGTCCGCACACAGCTGAGCAGGACGGGGCGAGTGGGCACACATGGCCTTTCGCACAGCGCCTCCAGGCTTGGTCACTCCTGGGTGTTCGCGGGGCTCTGGTTTGGGCTCACTCCCCCTTTATCCGGAACCTTGGCCACCCCCGTCCTTCAGGGCCCTGCCCGGTCGCCATGGGTCACCACGCCAAGGAGCCTCTGTCCCTGCATCTCCCCCTCGACTCTCCTTCCGGCGGCCCCTCTCCCTGTACTGCCGCTATCCGGTCCACCAGGTGCTGCCAGGTTAGGGAGGAGGCGCCCACAACACTGCTGGGATACGGGCCGCATTGCTGTGAGCTCATCCCCACCGCGAGATCCCAGAGAGCCCAGCGTGGGCGCTCACTTCAGCCCCACTCGTCCCTATCACACGTGGGAAACTGCAGCGGGACAGAGCCAGTTACATGTGCACATGCACACACACGCGTACATATAGCAACACACCTACACACGCACAGCGCGAACATGTAACGTGCCCCACACGCCTACACTTGTGCACACACCACACAATGCTCACTCACGAGTGTGCACCCCATGTGCACAGCCCACGCGCATGCGCCGCCCTGCACCCTGCTCGAGCCCCTCAGGCTCCCACCTTGAGCTTCGGCAGCCGCTTGATGGTCTTGAGCGGCCGCAGGACACGCAGGACCCTCAAGGACTTGATGGTGTTGATGTCTTTCCCTTTGGAGCCTCTAGAAGAGAGAAGCCACACATGCAGAGGCAGGACGCACACCTGTGCCGGTTCCCTGGGGCCTGCGCCACGCCCCTGCATGTTGTCTTGGGCCCCAGGGCAGAGGGCCTAGGAGCACCACAGGCCACTGCGGCTCGGCCTGGGGCCAAGCCCTCAGAAAGCGATGGGGCTGGGCCAGGTCAGCAGCAGCAGGTCGACAGGGAGAGCAGAGCTTCTACGTGGCAACCACCAGCCACTGCCATCGCTGCTCTCTCCGGCGTCCCCCCAACCACGCCAGCGACCTCCAGCCAGCCCGGGGCCAGCCAGGAAGCCTGCAGGCGCTATGCCTGTGTCCTGGGCCTTCCGGAAGGGCCAGCACATGCCTGGTCCTCCCTGCCTGTCCTCTCTCAGAGGCCCTGACGCCTCCACACGATGTGACACACAGAAAGGGAGGAGAGGGCGGGAGCCAGAGGAGGGAGACGGGTTAGATGGGTACAGAGGCGACGCAGAGACCGGGTGACAAGCAGACCGAAGGGGAGGGGGCGCAGAGCCACAGAGGGACAGGAGGGGCGGACAGGAAGGTGGTGAGCCAAGAGCTCGGTCAAGAACTCAGGCACCAGAAACTGTGAGGCCGGGCATTTGGGACCAGACCAGGGCCCATCACAGAGAAAGCCAAAGTAGACCCAGGTGGTTCCCTGTGGCTGGCAGGGACTCGGGGACTTTCAGACTCTAGGGGCCGGCCCTCCCACCAGCCAGAAGCCAGCACCAGAGAGGCCATCTGCAGAAGCAGGGCCGTAGCCGCTTGGGGAGACAGTGCCTGAAGACTCAGGCCTTAAGGCCCTGTCCATCTGCCCGGGGGAGCCAGTCCCTGGGGTCCTCCTTAGGCTCCAGCCAAGCTCTGGGGAAAGTGAGCTACAAGGCCCAGGCAGCTCCATGGGGAAGGGGTGCTTGCGCCCCTGCCCCCTACACCCTCCGGGACCAGCGGGGGCCTGCGTGCCAGGCTCCGACGCCATTAGTGCAGGTGAAAAGTCCCAGCCTCCAAATGCTCGCATCTCAATACCCACCCAAACCAACTGCCTCCAGCTGCCTGCAGGGACCAGCACGGAGGTCCAAGGGACTGAGGCCTGCAGGGGGGACGCAGGAGGGAGGGGACACACGACCGCCCCCCAGCAAATGCGGTTACCGGGAGGAGCCTCTGGGCAGCCCTGCTCTGCACACCTGAGGCCCCTTCTTTCCTTGCTCAGAGGCCACCTGGCCACATCGCATCCCTCCCCCACTCTCACTCCCAGTGTCCCTCACTGCTAATGGCTAAGCTGTCACCTCCTCTATGCGGAAAAAGGGGGATGCTGGGTGCTGCAGGGAGTCAGTCTGGAGAGAGGAGAGAAAAGACGCCTGTTTCTGGACAGCAGATAGTAGGGAAGTGGCACAGGGCCCGTCCCCCGTCCCGTCCCTCGTGTTCCATCTTCCGTCCCGTCCCCTGTCCCCCGTCCCATTCCCTGTCCCCTGTCCCCAGCCTCCAGCACTCAGTGCCACATCCTGCTCACCGTACCTCCTCACCAAGGGCTAGCCGTGCCCACCCCAGCCCCAGCCCCACAGGGTCCCCAGAGGAGAGGCAGGGACACAGGGCCTGGGGACATGGCTCCCGGCAGCATGCAGCCGGGAAGGTGGAGATGAGTGGAGGTGAGGCATGGTGATGAAACGGCCCTGGGGGCCATCGGTGCCATGATGCGGGGCAGCGCGAGGGGACAGAGGGAAGGCATTACCCCATGAAGCTCCTACCGAGAGTCCAGCAACAGGGAGACAAAGAGAAGAGAGTCAGTGGGGGAGCCGGCACCCTCCCGCGGGCTCAGAGATGGGGATCCCGGCCCCCTGGTACCTGGAGCTTCGGGGCCTCCTTGTCCTTGTACCTCACGCCGCCACTCATTCCTGTGTCCCCCAACCCTGCCCAGGCCCCACACCTGCCTCGCCTCCACCACCACGCAGGGGGAGCCGCTCCAGCCAGCACAAAAGGGCTGAGTGCCGCTTGCTAGGGACCCAGAGAGAATGGCCTGACACCTGAGGGGGGCTGCCCACCAGCACCTGCCAGCTCTGGCCGACCGAGCAGTGCAGCTGAGGTCGGGGCAGGCAGTGTCTAGAAGGGCGTCAAGAAGCAGACCCCAAACAAGCCCGAGGCTTCAGAGCCAGTGCCGTGTCCTGGACAAAAGGCCTTGAGGTCCCCCTGAGCCCGCACGGCCCAGGCCAGCAGACAGGGACGGGGCTACTGACAGCCCGAGGCCAACGGGGACCCTGCCCCACCCATCTGAGGTCTGGGGGGCGTGGCCAGTTCCAGAGCAGACGTGGGTACTTACGAGAAGGCAAACGCCACCAGGGCCCCACTGACCACAATGAAGTCCAGAATATTCCACAGGTCCCGGAAGTAGGCCCCGGGGTGCAGCAGCAGCCCCAGATCGATCATCTTCAGGGGAGAAATACACTTTAGGATGCAGGATATTTTAGAAAAGAGAGGCAGAGCCAAGCCCCAGAGTCAAGGGGTTCGGGGGGAGGGTGCCATTCCAGGTCACACTCTGTGGCCATTGACCCCAGATACCCTTCCACGGTCATGACTGGCTGAGACCCTGCCTGGGCCCACGACCCCCTAGAGCCTGAATGAGGATCCTCCACCACTGGGCTGTAGGGGACACGGCCCTGGGCACGCGTGCTCGGACGGGACCCTGCAGTAGGAGGAAGGGCTGGTGGCTTCACAGGGACCTGGTCTGCTACCCCCAGAGCTGTGGCTTCTGGCACCATAATGTCTCTAAACCTCAGCTCCCTCATCTGTAAACTGGGATGACACCTCCCTAGAAGCTCGCAAGGGTGAGAGGAGGCACAGGTGTGGACGCACGCACAAGGCCACCCCGACTCACGCGCACGGGTACACTGAGCCATACTGCAGTCGGAGACACACATGCGTGCACGTCGACCACACGGATGTACCAGCCACTCGGCACGCACTGCCGTGGGCAAGGCCTGTCAGCGCTCAGGGACAGCAAGTGACAGCCACCTCGAGAGGTCGAGTCCTGATCTGCCACCTGACACCGAGCCCTTCTAAGGGCAGCTTAGATCCCACTGCTATGGTCTGTGGGCTCCGTCCTCCCTGCCCTGTGTCCTCCTCCTCTGCGGGTACCGGACAGTGCTGAGGATGGGATGAGCCCCATGTTTGCTGGAGGAGAGGGCAAACCCTGCGAGGGCGTGGTAGGAACCGGGGTGGCACTGGGGAGCTGTCCCAAGGCTGGTGTGAAGCTGCAGGGCGTCCCCGCACCCTGCTGTGCATGCAAGGCCCACTGCCCGTGCCTCCAGGAAGTCACACCGCCCAGGGGGCCACGAGGGAGGGTGAGCAGCATGCAGGCCGTGGGCAGGCAACACCTCACCTTGATCACCATCTCGAAGGTGAAGACACCCGTGAAGATGTAGTCCAAGTATTTCAGGGCCTGAAACCAAAGGGGGCTCCTCTCAGGGCTCGTGGCCGTAGGGTCCCTAGCCCTGTGCCCCGCACAGCTGCCATGCAGCACTCACGTTGTTCCTGGGCGAGTCTGTCCGCACAGGGTCTTCTGCGGCCAGAGCGATGCTGCTGAGGGCGATGACCACAAGGATGACCATCTCGAAGTACCTCATGGTCACGATGTAGTGGCAGCAACGGCGGAGCCTGCGGACACAGTGTGACTCACTCAAGGCTCACGCTGGGCCAGGCTGGTTCCCCCATCCCTCATGAGTCCCTCACGGTTCCCCATGGTCCCTCGCTTGGCTCTCCCTGCAGGAGGCTGAGTTCTAAGTGTCCGAGCTCACAGCCTGGTGGTTGGTGGTGACAGGTTCTCAAGAGGGCGTCCTGGGAAGACTGGGAGGCTGCAGACGCCCTTCACAGGGACAGTGGACGCTCCTCACAGGGACAGTGGACGCCCCTCACAGGCAGGGACAGCAGATGCCCCTCACAGGCAGGGACAGAGGACGCCCCTCGCAGGCAGGGACAGCGGACGCCCCTCACAGGGACAGTGGACGCCCCTCACAGGCAGGGACAGCAGATGCCCCTCACAGGCAGGGACAGAGGACGCCCCTCGCAGGCAGGGACAGCGGACGCCCCTCACAGGGACAGTGGATGCCCCCCACAGGCAGGGACAGCAGACACCCCCCACAGATAGGGACAAGAGACGTCCCTCACAGGGACAGCGAACACTCCTCACAGGCAGGGACGGTAGACGCGCCTCACAGGCAGGAACAATAGATGCCCCTCATGGGGACAGCAGACTCCCTTCACAAGCAGGGACAGTGGACACCACCATAGGCAGGGACAGCGGACGCCCCTCACAGGGACAGCTGACACCCCTCGCAGGCAAGGCTGCCCCAGGCTCGCTGGCGCTCACGTCCTGCTGTGCACAGCCATGCTCTGCCTGTGTGTGGCCCGTCATGCCCTTGGCAGGCTGACAGGTGTGCAGGGTGGGGGCTGTCACGCAGAGGAGGCTGAGCCCTCGGGAGCCCTGCTGAGTGTCGTGCCCTCAGGGCCCACCTGTACTCAGTCGCCTGTCCATTGCACTGCTGTGCCCCAGCACCCTCTGGACCCCAGGGCAGAGCGCTGAGCACGACACCAGCACCCAGCGTGGACACCAACCAGTGGGAGACCTCCCAAGTATCCCAGACACTGACCAATACCCCAACACAGCAGCGGACGTCACCAAGAGGTCAGGACAGGGAGGCAGATGTGGTGACAGGGAGGAGGGGCCGCATACAGGCGTATCGTGTCTTCTGCCCCGCCAGGGAGCGGTGCCTCCTCTGTCCATCCTGCCCTCGCCAGCTACCTCGACCTCATCCCCCACCAGTACTTCCTGCTCCCACGGACCCCTCCTCCTTGAAGTCTCTCTCATGGTCACGGTCAGGTCCTCATTCCCAACCTGGCCAAATGGCCCCTCGAGGCTGAGCCTCAGGCCCTGTCCACCCAGCCCCCTCCTCAACTACGGGCCGAGCTCCCACCCCTCACCCCTGGCTCCAACACTCTGCACACCCCAGCTCAGCCGGCGCCCCACTGTCCAGCAAACCCCGGGTGAAACCCTGATACCGCCATCCCCCTCTGCATCTCACTGGCCATGGAATCTTGCGTGCTACGCCTCCAAGACGTCTCCCCACTTCACTTCCAAACCTCTCCACTGCTCGACCCTCAGTCACCACCTCTCCCACGAAAACTTCGGCCTGCTCAGTGTCTCCCTGCCTCCAGTCTTCCCAATGAAGGACCCACTAGAGTGCCACCCGACTGTGCCCCCAACCCAACCGCTTACAACCTCCCAAGCATCCCGGGGCCATCTGCATAGTGTCCAGTTCCCCACTCACTCTGCCACCACAGGCCGCTCAGTAGGGACCCCTGGGACCACTCTCCTGTACAGGGAGCCGGCCTGGACCCTGTGACCTCCGTCCCGTACAGGGAGCCGGCCTGGACCCTGTGACCTCCGTCCCGTACAGGGAGCCGGCCTGGACCTCTTCATCTAACTGCCCTTTCCTCTGTGGGTCTCGCTGGAATCGCTGGCTTCCTCCAGGAGATGTGCCCTATCTCTCCCACCTGCCCCCAGACACCAAGACCACCCTCCCCAGCCACCCTGACCCAGCAGGACCTGGGGGGCAGCCAGCCAGTGTGAAAGATGGGACCACGGCTGTCTCCAGCACCACCTCCCTCCCGGGCCCGAGCAGAGTGGAGCAGGGGCCCAATACCTGCTCTCGGTGAAGGAGCAGGCGGAGGGAGGGCGAAGGTAGCGGGCAGTGCAGGGCTGGGTGCAGGGGCTGCGGGGGACGGGAGGCACAGGTGGACTGATGGGTGGGTGGTGATGGAGCTGAGGCCATGGGACCTCGCTGTCCCCAGCCCCGGCTCTGGCCACGCTGGCTTTCGGGTGGCCCTACCTTGCCCTGCCCGTCGCTTCGCTCTCCTCTTTCCCACATCTTTGCTCCAATGTCACCTCCGTTGGAGCCAACCTGACCTCTCCCCCTCAAGGTCAGCCCTGGTCGTGCTTCCTGAGCACGGCCCCTCATGGGTGTCATCTGCTGCCTGTCCCCAGCAGGTAAGCTGGGTAAGGGCAGGGCCCCATCTGCTGTGCTCACCGCTGTGCACCCCCAGCAGCGAGAACGCGTGTGGCACACGACACTGGCCGCAACGAGGAGGAATGAACGCTGGCACATGGCAGGCGGCAGAGAGGGGGGCACGGGGACGGTGCGCGAGTGACGTCATGCACGCCTGCGCGCGGGCATGCACTGTGCAGAGCTGACCAGGCCACGGCCGGGGCTGACAGGGGCTCTGGTCTGACTGGCCTCTGGTCCCAGCCCCACCACGGAGACCGCCAGGCCCTGCGTCTGTGCACACGCCAGAGGGCTCCCCTGTGCCTCTGCGTCCGCATCCAGGAAGCGAGGCAACGCAGGCCTGCTGTGCTGACCAGCACGTTCACTGTGACGTGCACAAACCGGTGCCTCTGGGTCGCACCCAGCACACACCGCTGTCCCGTGCATGCGGACTGCGGGCCAGCCGAGTGGCAGGCACACAGCACATGCAGGAGGGGGACTCACAGGGCAGTGGGGCTCAGACAGAACATGGAGCTGTAGGGGACGATGGGCCGGGGGCCACTCCTCGTCACGTCATCAGCCTCCACCTCCTTCCTCCCATCTGCTTGGCTTTCCAGGTCCACGCTGCCACCTGCAAGGACACAGGGCCGCCACATTAGGGTGCAGCACATGTCAGGCCCTGTCACACAGGCCTCACCCAGACAGCGGATGCTGCCCCAGCTCTAACCCCACAGCCCAGTGGGCCCACCCAGGAAAGGGCGCATGGCTGAGGGCACAGGGGCACACCCCGGATCACGACCAGGTGAGCTATGGCCGGGAGTAAGCCGGCCCACGAGAGCGGGACCGTCTGCAGAGACCCCTTCCTCACCCCGCACTTCCCTGGATCACACACCGCACCCTGGCTGTGGACACCTCTGCCCCGCTGAGAGCTGCTTGTCAAGGTGTTCTAGGAACACAAAGCCCCTCAGCCCAGAGACTGGGGCCATTGGGCTCCCCTCCCCGGGCTCAGGGCTCACCCCTCCAGAAAAGACAGAGCGTGGCTGCCAGTGCTGGACCTGGGCCAGTGCTGGCCCACAGACGCTGCCCTGACCCAGGCATCTAGTCTAATTCGTCTGGGGATCCTCTTCTCGGGGACCACAGCAGTGTCCTGCCGTGCCAAGGGCTTCAGAGGACGCTGGCCAGGTGGGGGGACATCAGTGTGGGGGGCTGGCCAGCAGGCAGGGACGCAATCCCACACTGCCTCCCCGTGCTCCAGTCCTCAATTCCTGGCTCTGGCCACGCTGGCTTTCGGGTGGCCCTACCTTGCCCTGCCTGTCACTTCTCTCTCCTCTTTTCCACATCTTTGCTCCAATGTCCACCCTGGGCTCTCAGCAGCCCCTCCCCAGCTCAGTTCCCAGGGTCAAACTCCCCAGGGTTCAAATGACCATGACCTTGGCCCTTTTTAAGAAGACTTTGTGGTCCGTACACAGTATTCTTCTCACATGAGGTTATCATTTTTAACTACCCTAACGTATGTTTCGATCCTCGTGGGTGGCAGAGTTCCCAAGAGCTCAGAGATGCCGGGGAGACTGGCGGGACTCAGAGCCAATGCCACCGTGACAGCTCACTTTCACTCCTTACAAGAAACGTAGAGGCAGAGAGGACGACAAAGGGCAGCAGGAAGAGGGTGGTGACCCCAGAGCCTGCGTGAGGACCAGGGCTCTGAGCCGCATAAACAACCAATTATTCAATGTTAAAAATGAGGAAACGGAGGAAAAATGGAATACGTGTTAGAACCTAAAATGGGTGTAACAAACCCAAGTGAATCCACAATCACAGTAAACACAAGCAGAGTGAACCTGGCTGCGAGCCGACATGGACCGTCGGGCTGGGTTTGTGGAAAACACGGTGATGTGTCCTTTCTAAGAGCTGGGATGGGCAGCCACACAGAGGCTCAAAGTCAGAAGATGGGCAAAAGGACCACCCAGCAAATGTTCATGCGAAAAGGAAAAGGCTCAGGCAGAGTCACATCGGAAAAGGCACCGTAAGAAACAGACCGTCACTGACTTGATAGAGAATTACCGCGAGAGGACAAAAGGGTCAGCTCCAGAGACACGACCATCTCGCACAGGCAGCACGCAGCTTACTGTGCAAAAAGCAAACCCTGATATTTTAATAAAAAGAGTTTTTAAAGAGAAATTTTTTAAAAGGCTCCCAACAAAGAGCGGCTTGCCACCTCGGCCTCCACCCGCCCCAGCCACGAGGTCCCCGCGCGGACAGCAGCCTGCGCTGTGCTAATGCACCCCCCGCATCCTTGTCCCCTGGCACGAAAGCGCCCCGACGGGTGCGAGGGCCTTGGGCTGCCTGGACCTCCGGCTTCTCGCGGGCCTTTCCTTGCTCCAGATGCTGCCGAGCTGCTCAGGGACCTCGGGCCGCAGTGGGCGGTTTCCGTCTCAGAACCGCTTACAGGAGTGAGTGCTGGGTCACCTGCCAGACCAACTCCCGTGCCAATGCTGCATGTTTCCAACTGTTCAGAATCACTGCGTTAAGTAAATAAATCACATGTAAAGCAAGAGCTGACAGATCTACAGAGAGAAAGAGATGTCAGCGTACCTCTCCCAACTATCAGCGGGTCAGTCAGGACAAACATCAGCAAATACATGGGCTTTCTAGTAACACAACAAACATGAAAAGCCCAGTGTTCCCCAAAGTGAAGAAAACGTGTTCCTTTTAAGCTCCCATGGCACGGCGACAAACGCGGACTATATACTGAACTATAATGCATTGTCTCAGATGTCTCAAAGGAAACCACAGTGGGGTGGAAAAGTAATTTTCCTTCCACCCTTCTAAGTTCTTTCGGCTGGACTGATAATCAAATCGACACAAGATAATCAACGAGAGAAAACGACCAAACTCATTATGTATGAAGGAGACTAAAGCAACAAAACGCAGTCACACAGCCCCGTCAGCGAGATTCCTCCGACCAGAATGAGTCGGCGTGGGGAAGAGGCTCCCTCTTGCCTCAACTGAGGACTCAGACCTTTGAACTTTTCGGCCGTGCGTCAGTGCCTGGAGGCGTGCATGGTCCGAGGCCTGGCCCCTGAAGAACCTGGGACAGGATGCCTGCGTGCCAGGTGGCCTGTCACCGGGGAGTCGCCACCCGGACCAGCCCAGAAGCTACGAAGGCAGGACCGCTTCTTCCCAAGGATGTACTTTTACCATAAGCACCTTCAACTTTTCTGTTTTCTTCAGAACACTTGGTGTCACCTGGAAGTGCTCCCTCATTTGCAAATCTTAAGCCCCTTGAATAAAACTTTGTCGTTTGAGTCTAGAAAGCCTCCTGATTCGACAACGTTCAAGGGACAGTGCGCACGGGATCCCTAAGAATACGGGAACTAGGGACACGTCGGGCAGCTGAGGCTTCTACGCCATTCTGGACTGAGGAGAAGTGGGCAGGGGTCTGGCTTCAAAAGGAAAGTAGGCAAAAAGAGCAAACACATAAATGAATCTTGCTGGGACCCCAAAAGCAGTGGGGTGCAGAGGACTCAATCAGACTTGGCTTGTTCCTCCCATCTGCACACCCAGTCCATGCCATGATGCCAAGATGACGCCCCTTCCTTCAAGAGGTGTTTCTATCCACATTCCCTTAGGCAGGTGGGGGAGGGTCAAAGGTTATTTCTGAGGCTTTTGTTTTTTAAAAAAAATCACCATTTAAACTAATCTATATCACAACAAGCATGTTGTGGGGTGGCAAACTTCCCCTCACTGTCATACAGATTGTGCTCTCCAATCACAGTGCGATTAAGCTGGAAATTAAGGCACTAATCAAACACAAAGGGTTAATCAAGATTCGAATTTTACAAGTGGAAATTTGAAAGCAAATTTTGAAGAGTTCATGGGTCAAACATTATACACTCATAGGCAGTCTAACTGTGGCGACACAGAAAACAAAATAATCTACAGAAAAATCATGGAGAGCGACAAGAAAGCCTGGCAGCTCTGTGACTGGACGAAATACTGCTTGTATCTCTGCAGAGTAGGAGCAAATAATTACAAAGTACGATTTTTAAAAGAATGCCGTTTTTAAAACAGAATAAACAAAGTTAAAAGCACAAAGAACATTAGGGCAGTGCGAGCACGGTGTGCGGGTCTGCCGCGGGGCACGTGCGCGCCTGCCCGAGCCCGCAGATACACACGGAGCGCCCCGGTGCGGACGGGGCCCTGGGCTCGCCGCCTGGGACGGCAGCACCACCCGGCGGAGGCTCTGATGGTGGCGGCGGCCACGGGCCCGCAGGAGCAGGGCTTACGGCATACTTCTGCCTGCTGCTTTTACCGCGAACCTAAAACTGCTCTAAAAAGTTGAAAGACAAAATTTTCAGGATAAGGGAAGAGATACAAACACAAAATCAAGGAATTGAGGTCAAACCCCTACAATCTCACATCTGGATTCCCAAGGACAAAGAAACACAAGGCCCCCGACGACCCCAAGGCCAGCAGGTGCCCGGCCCTGTCTGAGGAGCCGGCCAGCAGGTCAGCCGCTACGGGAGCAGCCGAGCAGGAGGTCCTCGGGGACTGCGAACCAAGGACGTCCCCAGGAGAGGTTGGAGGGACCAGGAGGCAGAACGGGGAGCAGAAAGCCACCACAGAGCTGTGTCCATCACGCAGTGCGAGCTGGCTCCCACAGGGGCGTGGGGTCCGCACGGAAGCTCGGAGGTGTCCTGACCCACTGCATGTCCCATCATCCCATTGCTGGCGAGAGCTACCTGGGGTGTCTGCAGGCTTCATATCCTGCCCACCCCCCAGCAATCAGGGCGGTGCCCTAAGGAGGGGCTGAGGCCAAGGCCTCTGAGGCAGAGGTGCACCGAGCTGGGGAGGTGTGCGGGGACAGCCGGTGGCCAGAGCCCAGGTCTTCTCAGAGGAATGGCCCCACCCAGGTCTGGGGCAGGGAAGGAACAGAAGGGTCCAGGAACGTGCTCCCACGAAAACCGGAGAGCCGCCAAGGCCCACCACAGGCACATGACAAGCCCCAAAGAGGCGACATTAAGGCACTCCGAATGGCCAAAAACGGGACCGCGGGAGCCTGAGAAGCTAACAGTGTGCCACAAGACTGCACACGTCACGCATGCTAAAACCCGAAAGCTCATCAAGACGTCTTTCCTAAACCTCTCGCTGGTCACGTCTGGAGTCCCTAAGGCACCAGCTCACAATTTTTAAAACCTGAACACTAAATAAAGTCAGAATTAAGCATGATTCTGACTTAATGCAAATGCAAACTGTATTTCAGGATAAACAGTTGATAGGGTGAGTTCTTCCTTACAGAAAAGGTCAAAATAATAAAGACATTAAATTGTGCTACCTGATGACATCTGGCAGCCATTATCCGCAGCTACTGACGGGGATGGCGGTGGGGGAGCCTAGAGCAGAGGGACCGGCCTGGATGCTGGAGAGTGCAGGGCCCTGCGAACCTCCCGGGGTTTGCGACAGGAAACGGGCACCCACACCCATGCAGCTCTCCAAGGGGTTTATCTGGATTCCAACCCCATCTCTAGCGCTGTGGTTCACAAATGAGGGCGAGTTTGCCTCTTGGGCACATCTGCCCGGGTCTGAAGACATCTGCGGTTGTCACAACCACAGGGTGCCACTGTCGAGATG